TCCTCTGAAACCCTTACCGAGAGTTGCCGTAAGTTTTCATCAGATGCCCAAATGGTAGTATCATCAGCAAACAAAACCATTTTAACAGTATCAGAAACCTTACATATATCATTGATGTATAATATAAATAGTTTAGGTCCCAAAACAGAGCCCTGAGGCACTCCACATACAATGTCCAGCTCACTCGATTGGTATTCACCCAACTTCACAACTTGACGCCTCTGTGTCAAATAACTTCTAATCCATTTCAGAACCATTCCTCTGATCCCATATTTTTCTAACTTGTCCATTAATAATTCATGATTGATTGTGTCAAATGCTTTTTTTAGGTCAATAAATATTCCCACCGTGTATTTCTTCTCATCCATAGCACTTGTTATGTCCTCCATCAGGTCCACTGATGCCTTGGTTCCATTAGTTGCCCCAGTAAGCCATGCCACTGAACCAGCATGCACAATACCAGACCCTGCGACTACCTTACTTAAATTGAATGCAGTCATTTTAAAGTGATGAATGTAATTTAAATAAACCTGGGTAAAGTGCATAAATGTCCCATTATTTCTGAGTTGAAACAGAATAAATGCATAGTAAAACTTGGCCCACTAAGTCACCTCTGCTCACATTCCCAATTAACACTGTTTATGAATTAATGAAGTATACACTGAAATGCATTCATCATTTCTCAGTCAAGTAACACAGGAGTCAACATTTCCACTTGCTTTGTGTTTGCTGGCTGAGGCTTCAGGGTCACCACAAAAGGTCATCCAGTTAACAGTTAAATAATCAGTCCTAATCTGTGAACCTGTTCAAAAAAGAAAATGTGCTGCTATTGCAAAATGATAATTAGAAGAGTAAGACAATGATCTACAAAATGACAAAATGATCACCCTGAGTCATGCCAGGGACGAATCGTATTTGTTTTTCAGTTACACAACAGTACTTTGTATCTATTATTTTCTTTCAGTCACCTCATTAAATCTCCCCTTTTGTCATTGTCTGTCTGTCCTTCAGCCCAGTGTTACGTGTACACACAATGAATAACAACAGAGAGGATAAAATTTTCATTCATTGCTGTAGATGCAACATCTAAGTTGGATCAATTAAAGCACACCAAGAGAAATGGAACATGCTGGAACATGTGAGTCAGTGCTGCCATCTAGTGGCGTCTACATGTCACTACCAGAGTCAGGCATTTGTATGTAGGATCTCTGCACAGCTGGAACGTGAAAGAATTGAATGACAGTAAATATTCTTTAGTACTGAGGATCTGGATCCATCCACTGGGACCAGTTTTACACCCTCCTCTAAAGAAAACCATTTTAAACTTACACAACAAGCCCAGGTGATGAACAGATTTATCTAAAACACAGGATGTTTTACTCGGATTTTATCGACTGGTTTTTTGCTTATTGTTTTGATTAAAGACTTTTCTGTTCACTTTGTCTTTTTTTACTCCTCTGGTTTTGTGAGTTTTGGGGAAGTTGTGCTTTTTGAATGATATTCAGTATCATCCACCCAGTTGTGCATTGAGGACACAACCTGGAAATAATGTATACAAAATCCAGCTGAGGTAACAGATCCTGCTCTAAACACAGAACATCTGCCAAGGTTGTAACCACTTTCATTTCTGATGATAATCTTATTATAATATCAGTTAAAGCTAAGCTATAAGAGACAGGGCAAAGGAGAGAGAAAGTCAATTAGACACTACACCTCAATCATTAACGTTTACAGGAAAATCCATTTGTGATGTGAATTACTTTGATTATTGGCCAAGTGATTTATTAACACAGACCCATGGTTGTCTTTTTTTAGCAGTAGATTAAACCTTTTTATTGATAAAAAGTCGACTATAAAGTTTTTCATGGATCTTTTTAGAAGAGAACAGAAAAAGATAAAAGAAGACCTTTGCCCACTGGTCTCCTGAAGTGATTTTTATCATAAATTCACTTGAATGAGGGCTGCATTCCAGTTAAGGTTTCAGTCCACTACTTGTGCTTTGCATTTTGGGACATTTGGACAAAAGAGAACCAACATTAATGTCATCAGTAACAACTGTGCTTTTCCTACTATGACGAGTCAAAATGTCAGCTGGGAAAAGGGCTTTTTATGGGGTTGTTCCATGAGAATAAGTCATTTATGTGATTTCTCTCTCTCTCTGTTCACTGCGACACTACGGGGAGGAGTGTTTCTTAATATTCGGCCAGTAGATGGAGGTCTTCACTCATTTTCCTCAGCAGTCTGGCATCATCTGAATTGAATACTTGCTCCTCATGTACATGTCTGTTTTGACTTTTTCCTCCATTTTGCTGTTTCCATCAAGCCACACTCAAAGGGGACGATACCTGCCTGGGAGCCAGATTACACCACAGCTCGCTGGTGTTGGCTTAGTCAGCTGAGTCGCATGGTAACTTTAAATAGGTCATGTGACATTCTCTTCACAAATAATACATGACTTTGGACAGAAACACACCACAGTCAACATACATGTTAAAGATATTCTTATACAAATGTAGTCATATAAATGTGAACTCTTACTCTAGAGGTCTTGAAACAAAGGCTTTGTGCACCGTATTGTTTTAGGGTAGATTTATCTGTACATGTGAAATCTTGAATGGGATTTGTATTGTTTTCACATGTAACTGCACAGAACTTCCAATAAATGTATGTCACACACAGTATATTGAATATTTTACATATTTTAATTACATTTTTTATGTTCTAGTTGTTCACCCTGTAATGTACTGGCACTGATTGCTGTGTAGCGGCATCACACACATACCTATGGTGTTGCTGTTTCTGCAGAAGAACCTTTCCTATGTTTCCTTGTGGAAGTATGAAAATGTCAAGTACGTATTAACACTGCACGCAGCAGGCTACTGTAAGAGCACGCCGTTATGACTCCATTACACTGAAGGGTCTCTATTCTTACAGTAGATTTCATTCTCTATCAATACACAGTGACATACAGCCCTTTTGGACAGGATCTGGCCAGCGTCCAAACATAGCAACCTCCAACAAAGGTCAGTTTTTACTAAACTACAGTACATACACTGGT